CATCATCATCATCATCTCCTCCTACCTCATCTATCTCATCAGTATTAGAAACTATCACTAAGCCTTCGGTTGAACTAGTATTGTAACTGTTAGTTTCATTTATAGGTTCGTATATGTCAGAAAACTCTCTTATCCATGGGTGTTGGAGAAGCTCTTTTGCAGTCGGGCGGGTGACTGCCGACTGAATGAAGCACTGTTTGAGAAAGTCCATCCCCTGTTCAGATAGTTGAGATGGATCTGGAAGAGGAGGATGTCCCGTGACCACGTGATACATCACTGCCCAATCATTGTCGAGATTATGCCATGGTCGACGTCCAGTTGCCATTTCCAACACACAGCAACCCAGAGACCAAATGTCCATGGAACCTTTCCGACCTTTCTCTCCCCCAGTAATAATTTCTGGTGCCTATTCATTAGATAAGGACATGTTAGATGTATCTCGATTTGGCAAAGAATATACAATTTGCTTACACAATGTATTTACCATATACATCGGCGTTCCCGTTAGGCTATTTGCACCAGTACGTACTCCCACGGTCGTCCTACCCATTGTCTTCTGATTCTTGGCGAGTATCTTGGCAGCTCCAAAATCCACAAATTTAATAACACCCGCATGATCAAGGAGGATATCTAACGGGTAAAACAAAGACACGCATCGAGATGAGATGACAAATTAGTTAATGTATATACTTTGGGATAAATTAAATAGATGTGGTTGCATTACTTACTATCTGGCTTAACATCTCGATGTATAACATCACTGTCATGTAAATATGATATCCCCTTTAGCATTTGATATGTATAGCATTGTATCACGGTCTCATTTTCAATACGTCCATGTTCTAGCAGACTGCTAAGAGATCCGCCTTGACAATATTCCATAAATATATACACCTTATCACGATGTACTTCAATTCCATAATATGATACAATATTGGGATGATTGAGCTTTTCCATAACTGACATTTCCTCCTTAACAGACTTGTACAATGTCGTTAGAGATGACGGGTCGGGAAATCTTATCTCCTTGACGGCCATCAACTCTCCCGAGTCAAGATTCACAGCCGAATATACGGATCCGAATGTACCAGCACCAAGAAACTTTCCTTGCTGCCATCTAAGTGATATATTGGAACTTGACGACGCAAGAAATACCAGCGGTCTATACTCAGGCTGATTATCATCTAGAACTTTTCCTATCAATCGATTCTCTATTTGCGACTGCAACCTCTTTGCTTCTAGTTCACGTAATGCATTCATCATCTCTTGTCTGAGTGTCAGCGAATCGGTTGCCTTATTGCAAGAAGTACCAAGAATGTTCTTCTTTTTGCTGTTTGCTAACGCTCCAGCTGCCTCTACTAGCTCTCTCTCCTGTGCTTCCCGCGACGATTTAGCACCGCCGATATCCACATGTTGAACCAACAATCTCATACACAACGAAACTTTTTCCTTTAATTTCTCAAACTCCTCCTCTGATAATCCCAGAATATTATTTCCTCTGTTAGTAGTCATAGCAAATTCTAATGCCATTACTGCCCATCGATATGTCTTACGATCTGTCGGTATACAATCATCGCATATAAAACTAACCCATTCGATTGCCAATTTGGTCAGTTTTTCGTTTAGATCGGCTCGCACTTGATCTCGATGCATGTATCTGAGAGATTTCAATCCTACCTCTGTGGCAAACCCGAAGCAATTCTCAATCAATTCTTGATCTTGTATTCCTTCGATACTCTTTCGAATGCTACCCACGCTGTCGATAAGGATATTGACGAACTTAAATACTGTCCTTTTAACTTTCGTTAGTTCTCTATTTACAGTAAATACGTTGGCCCTTGTCTCCAAAATACATTTCATGTCTAGCCCATCAACGCATCCACTGAATTTTTTCTTACAACTCTGTAACCTGCCCGCTGCACCATCTGCGACTAGCCGTGTTCGATACTTCTTAAAATCAGGGAAATCTAGATTGCCCAGCGAAGTTTGTATGAATTGACCTGTCCATTCAAAGGCCATTGGCGGAGAGAGAACAAGAACGTATTCGTATTCATCTGGCTCATTTTCGTCGTTGAAAGCATTCCCCCTATCGTGAACGTTCTGTCTGTCATGATTTACCAGTTTCTCTGGCTGAGTAAAGATTGATCCCAACATTTGCATTATCCTTTCTGGTTGCTCGGCAAGTGACGGCGTGGCTACGATGGTATATTCACTGCTTTCTGTGTTCTCCGAAGCAATAAGCACGTGGTTTGATTGTCTGAGAGCTTCAATAAATGCAGGGTAGCGTTCGTCTTCGATGTAGTATTCTGAAGCGTTTTCTAGTTGTTCAATCAAGTATCTAGAACAAGAGAATTAACGTCAGTTACTATACTGAACTATTGTCTTGAAGAAACCACTTGTTTGTATCGGATCTCTCAACAATAAAGTAAATACCTAGTAAAGCGTAATAGTTTTCGCGTTCTTAACCGTATGTTTTCCAGGCACTTGTTATACCACTTCGCCTTGTCAGCATTGTCAAAGCTCTCTGGTAGCTTGAGTTGAGATTCCAAGGACGATATGATGCTCTGAAGTAATTTATTATTTAACATACTAAGAGAATTGTAATCTTGGTGAGAAACAGCGTTGCTTTCTTTCTTCCAAATTGTATATTACTGTTATCCTTAAGAATATGTCAGTCACCGCTTATTCAAATCAGTCGTTCTTACAGTATAAACACTCACCAGAATTGTACGGCAACCGTGGACTCCCCACCCTCAATGCGTCGACATATTCGATTGAGAAAATGCCATTCATTATCCAACATTTCTGCTTCTTTGACTGTTACAGTTTTTATCCCATTCTTCAATTTCCATTGTAATAGTTTAAAGTAGAACTTTAATGAGTCTAACAATACCTTGTTATAGTTCGCGTCTATACAAGGAGGAATTTCCCACCCGGGAGCAGGAGTCATTAATTCAAGATACTGATGTTTGATCTGACAGGCTAGTTCCAGGGCAATGCGAAAATCATCCATTGTCTGTTGAACCATGACTATAGTAGGAGAACTCAAACGATTAGCGTATTCTAAAAGTAACTTCATGCATTCTTCCATCAATTTCGTGGGAAAATTGAGCAGCTTTTGTAATTCGTTGATATATGGAGGCAGTTTCATCTTGGCAAACGCGTCAGCATTGTCTATCATTACTCCTTTAGCCTTCCCTAACAGAGAATTAAGAGTAGATAGAGTCCTCTTCTCGAATGTTCTTTTAAGACCATTCTCTTTTAATATTCTTTCTATGAATGATGGATTCTCCGCATCTGGAGGAGCATCGCTAGGACGAGCAATTTCTAGAGTTTCGCTGCCCGTCCAGTTTTGTAGAATTTTTAATTGAGTCTGCAGACTGCGCGTCACTGTCAACCATGAGTTTAATGCATCCAGAGTAAATTCTAATTCGGACGATTTGTATAATGGCTTGCTCTCCATCATTATCTTACGTGACGGATATAAACTCTCACATTTGTCCACTCTTTGCAATAACTCAGCAACTTGATCTATGGCAGGAACGTCATCCGGTTTGAGCACAAAATTAATGACTTCCTGTAATACACCATCTACTTGTTGACGTTGCTCTTCTATCAAGGCCCTTTCGTCAGAAACTGAATGACCGCGTGTCATAGATCGTAGACCCAACCATATCTGATTCATGTTAGCCACCTGTTCCCTCTGCTTTCCTCTCTCCAATCGACGTTTTTCGGATTTTATTATTTCACCCTTCAGCACAGCTGCCAGCATATTTTGCCATTCTAACCTCTCTTTATGACTATCGTGAAATATCACGGATGTTCGACGATTGAATAACTCATCATCGTCGTCATCGTGGTCATGTGCGTCATCATAATTACGATGTATATCATCATCTGACGTATCTGACACAAGATCGTTATCCCAATCGAGGTTTTCTACGCTGTATTCATACAAGTCGGTGTCGTCTATCGAATCTTGTCTGCTCATACGCCGGAAGTGATATGGATTATATTGTCCCCTGTACGGATCTCGTCCATTATGGGTATTTTGCGGATCTCTTTTTGCTCCAATGTTTTTGATCTGTCCATTATTTGTTTGGAGTCGTTGATCGTAACGCTGTGACCGTCGATT